ATTATTATTTTTCTTCTTATTCTTCTCCTTTTCTCTCTCTCTCTCTCTCTCTCTCTCTCTCTCTCTCTCTCTCTCTCTCTCATAAAAAAAGAAAATCTGCAATGATAGAAATTTATATGAAAAGTACCAGAGACTGAACCGAGCATATGGGAGCATCAAGTTATGCTCTGATAAACATTCTTGGCAATTAGTTAATGCAGTCTCAGATTATATTAATTAATCTGTATTTCCTTAGTGAGAGAGTGAATGGTTAGACCTCAGTAATACACATTGCTTACTGTGTGCTATCACTTTTCCCCCACCCCACCATACCACAAATAATGTGGCTTAATCGACACAATCAACTGATGATAGGTATCATGGTGATCATTTATTTCAGAGGAGGAAACTTAGATTAGGAGTAAACACTGCATCTCCCTCCAACATTTAAACCAGTGGGGAACAATTGGGGGAATCAAATATATTGGACCCTTTACTCTGAAATCTATCTACACCCGACAGAATACCTGTCAGTTTATTTTGTTGATGGAAAGTAATCAAGTAGAAAGTACTTGTAGGTAGAAAAGTAATTCCAGGCAGGAAGACAGACACAAGAAGAAAACACTGCTCCTGTCCTCATGGAGTTTTCACTCCAGCCTGACAACACAACCATGCATAAGGTGCTATGGAAATGTATGATTTTGGAAAAAGAGAATTTTTTTTTGAGAATTTAAGGAGCACTAGAGGTTCAATGAGAGAAGAAAGTAGAGGATTTATCAGTGTAAGTACTGACTTGGGAGGAGCACAGTGACCTTGAGATACCATGAGCAGAGGAGGAAGAGGGTGAGGAGAGTGATGCATGATTACCTGGATGGGTAGGAAGAGCTCAAGGCCTCTCCAAAGCATGTCCCAAATAACAATCCTGTTGAAAAGCTGTTTGTTAATGTTCCCCTCTGACACATCATGGGGAACTGCAGTGATATGAGGGGCCTGGTCTTTCCTTATTTTCTTCTTTGAATTCACCTCCTCACAGTCTCAGTGATCTTGATTGGTATTACCTCCTTTGAGTCTTTATTGATATGCTACTGCATCCCTCTCCCAGAAAACATTCCATGGGGCCTGTTGGAAATTGGAGCCTATCATCTTCTAATGTTTTTAAGACCTGTAATGTCCCCTTAGTTTCTTGTTCTGATAAAAMCCTGGCTGTCCTCTGAGAACAATTAAGTTCTTGTCATTTGGAGGCTCTGTGCTTCCCTTTCAACATGCTTTTTATTCCTTTTCAAATCTTAGAATAAGTTTGTAATTATCCATTCTATTCTTAGAACATTTCTGCTGTGTCTTGTAATTTTTAATAAATTCTTTTCTTTTCCTCCATGTCCAACTGTTTGATTTTGCCCATGAGGTGGTACCTGCCAGCACTTTTGCTGTCACTCTGCAGCTTGGTCACTCCTCTCATCCAGGAAGTCTGCAGTACCAGGCTCCCCAGCCTCCTCTGTGTCCTGTTCCTGGTGCTTCCAGGAACCTTGAACACAAGTGAGATAACATCCTGGCCTCTCAATTACTGGTTTTCTCCCTTTGAAACCCTCCCCTAACATTACATCTTCATGGATGGCCACACTATTGACCATAACTAACTGTCCAGCTTGAGATCTTGACTGCATTGTTCCCTCTCTGACTTTTGCCTCTTCTCCTTATGGCACATATTCTTGATGCTCCTTTCCCAGATATTTCATCCTCATGCAGATTACAAATGGTTCCCTTTATCAGTTTCCCAGTTTTCCACTCTCCTCAGGATTTCACATGTTCTTCTTACCCTGATTAGACAACATGATGCTCCATTATAATCCTTCCCCTTCAAGTACACTCAATTCTCTTGTCTCTTCTTTATCTGTCAATGACAAGAATGGTTGTTTTAACTACATAACTCATGTTTTAACACATAACTCCATGCCCTCCTTGCCTGCCTGTGTTGGACTAGGCAAGGACTGCTGAATTATGGACAAGTACTGTATCTTGTAATAATATGAAATTATCTTGCTATTCTCTTTGAATTTGAATTCAACCTCTGATAGACCATCCAAACTGGCCCATATTCTAGTGTGCTCCTCTCACATGTGCTTTTTCCCTTTTTATAATATATTATTTTACAAATTCTCAGATATCTTCCCTGCTGATATTTTAACTCTACCATATATTTAAATTATGATTTTGCCTCAAACATCCCTGGAAATAGAAACCTTCAGCTCCCTACTTTGTTTTTTCCTCATATGGTCACTTTACCTTATTGGTTGTACTTATTTTGTATTACAGATATTCAATTTCTCTTTGCCTATAATGTTTTTTTCTGGCCAGCTTGAATAATCTATAGTCACATCTTTCTCCCTTATTCATCTTGGAGCTTTGTCAATTTACTGAATTGATAATGTTTGATTCTTTTCTCCTTCTCACTTGTTTATCTGCTCTTCTAGTGAGATATATTCTTTTCTATGCTCTCATGGCTAGGTTGTCTTGCTTCCTTTTCTGTGGGTGGGATTGCTTCATTATCTTCTACAGTGCAGGTTCAGGGGTTCAAAATTCCTTTAACTGACACATATCTTCAGAAGACTTATTTTTCTTTGATTCTAAAGGATAACTTCATTGACCATAGTCATATAGTTCACAGCTGTTTTCTCTCAAGGTCTTAAGTACATCACTCTATGCCCTCATGGCCTTTATTGTTTCTGCTTAGAAATCTGTTATGTGAGGATATTCTTAGTAAGCAGCCTTGTCTTAATGATGTGCCTTGAGGTGTTGTTGACTTGTAGTGTTGAGATTAATTTAAAGTGGACATTATAGATTGTTTCTCTGTGGATTCTTTGGCTGGTAATAATGGGTTTTGAAACTCTAGGTATTGTGTCAGAGCACATCTTTCTCTATAGTTCTATATAAATGGAGTCCTTCTTATAGGTCAGGTGTGTTGTCCAGCACAGTGTACAGGGTATTCTTCCTGTGGTATTATTTTTTAGTGTTTGGTCTGAGGGGTATGAAAGCAACCTGTACTGAGGTCCTTCAAGGCATTTTTACTCAACATTTGGATTATTTCTCTCTGGAGAAATAATTAATAATTAAGGTGGAGATTTTCCAGGAGCAGGAATTATGCCTACTTGTGGCTGGCTCTTCAACTGTGGATTTCTTTCTTCCCTTTGTAGTAAGTAGAAATATCCACTAATGCTTCACCAGGACTAGGTCATAGCTTCATTAAACTGAAATTTCCCTGTATTGGCTAGAGTTAGGAGTGTGCCAAGTGTCCTAGCCATGGTGAATCCCTGGAAAGTCTGTGGGAAATAGTGTAATTCCTGAAGATGTGACATGGGGAAGCTATGAATTGCTAGATGTTGTCTCTTAGCTCTCAGACCTGGTCCCCTTGTGCAACCACATGTGCCTGGAATTGCTATTCTTCACAGAGGGTTGGACCACTTACCAATGAGACCTCCATCCTTCCCCTGTAATTGAATGCTCTCATGTGTGTTTCTGACAGGCATTCTTCCTCTCTGAGACTGTAGAACATTAACTTCTACCCAATCACTGTGGCAGGGTGGCCCAGGGACCTAAAATTGTGATTACCACATATTGTCTAAACCCCAGAGCAGTTTATTTCCTAATAATGACCACTTCTTAAGATAGCTCATGGTTATATCACTCTGAGAGCTTGCTGGGCAATGTGATGAATTTTTTCTCCAAAGCTTGCTTATTGTACAGGAGTACTCCCCTTCAGAACAATGCCCCAAATTTGATCTAGAGCTTGTAAGAATCATGTGTTTCTCCCACAGGTAAGACACCATCTGGGTTGTCTGCATTTTCCAGCTTACTTTATTTTGCAAGTTGCCTCCCTCACCCAGGCAGCTGAAGATGAAGTTGTAAATTGCTTTGTACTTTCCTAGACTGCCTTTCTCCTCTCCATGCAGTTTATAATGACTGCTTTATCAGCTCCTTTCTTCCTCTTCTCAAAATACAATTGTCCCTATGTTCCCTAACCTTTTTCACTCAGAGTCACAACAAAGGTGCCTCTTTTCTGCTATTTACCTCTTTGCCAAAACTCCAATGTTTGCATAATAACAACTCCTGGAATTCCAGCATAGATTTGATTTGTTTGGGAAAGTAACATTCTATGGGTGTTGAGCAATATCAATACCTGACATCATCATTTTTGAGAATTTTCTCAATATACCTAAAGTAAGTCAAGTTCTGACGTTGGATATCAAATCTGAACTCTTAAGCTTAGAATCATTAGTGAAATATTTGGAGACAAACCATGATCCATCCATTTTCCCAACTTAATGACCAAATGGTTATGATTTCTCCTGGATTCATGGATGTCCCCTGAAGTTTCTGATAATCACATCCCAGTTTCTTAGTCTACCCACTGTGTCTGATCCTTCCATATATCAGGCCATTAGCACTCAAGTGTGTGTTCTCTATAAAAACCAATAAGATGCTGGCCCATTGACTTTTAGAAATGCTTCAGAAAAAGACACAAAATTTTAACTACTCAAGGTAGGAAACCTGACATTTCTAGAATTGTGTTATCAGATCCTATGGCGAATTCTGCAAATAATAAGTTTAACTCTAATAAGAGCTACATAATAAGCTACATAATAATTTCTACCTGAGAAATCTAACTATATTAAATTGTGTTTAATCTTTTTTCTTTCTTTTTTTTCTACATAATTGATTCTTCTACTTATTTTGGTAGGAATTAAAATTTAGCTGCTGCCCTGGTGTGAATGACTTCTTGTCTTAACAGCAAGTTCTGCAATCTGAAAATGGATTCTGCCAAATGATTTGTTGAGGGGGGAATAGCATAGGAAAAGAAAACCCTCCTCTTTTTCTTTGTAAATACACCAATTGACCTAATTACTTTCTCCTCAGAGACCCCAAAGCTCCGCCTGGTGAATGGTGGCAGTACAGGCAGAGTGGAGATCCTTCACCAGCATTCCTGGGGCACTGTCTGTCACTACAAATGGAACCTGAAAGATGCCCATGTGGTGTGCAGACAAATGGGCTGTGGAGTTGCCATTGATGCCATGCGCTATGCACAATTTGGGGAGGGATCAGGGCCCATCTGGCTGAACAGGCTGCACTGCACAGGAGAGGAGGACCAAGTGTGGAAGTGCCCATCCCAAGGCTGGGGACAGCAGAACTGTGTGCACATGCTGGACGCAGGTGTCATATGCTCAGGTAGGGTTTGCACATTCTCCACAGCATAAGAGAATGGAAAGGACCAAAAGTGTTTATCTGATCTTGGGGAAATAAGAGACAGATGAGCCATGGAGGATTAAGAGGTCCCCATAAATGCTGGTTGCTCAAAACAACAGTATATGATGGGCTTTATTTAATTCTTATTGTAACTCTCAGTGTCCTTTCTCTTCTCTGCAGTCATACTTGATGAGATACGGTTTCTTTATAGAAAGAAATAAAATCATCTTTATAATTCTGGTTCTATGATTTACTATTTGTAGGGTTACCTATAAATTACCATACACATCCTCTTTTGGAAAGAAAGACAAGAATGGGGCTCACTTGTTTTCAGTTGAATTAAGTGTTTATATATATGTAGCCAGAGATAGTTTTGCACTGGGTTAGTAGGTGTATGGGCACAGGGATGGGATTAAACACATCACAGAGGAATTTATGGATTACGGCAAACTTGCAATTCTCCTTTCCAGATTCAGACATCAGAATTATCAACTCATTGGCAGGAAGGGCCAGAGAACTGTGAGTGAAATGCTCTGAGTCACACATATTCCTTCCATCATTACTACAATAGATTCTCTCTACATTTCTTTTTCAAAGCATTAAATTCATACTTGAAAAATGAATTTATCTCTGTGCTGACAGATTAATGTTGGATGTAATAAAATATGAATGCATATGTATTATAGTAAGATGTTACATAGTTTAGGACTAGAACAAGATGGTTGTTCAGTGATCTCTCACAAATACATCATATTGTTATTCACACACAAAACTGGCTTCATTAGAGCAAATAACCTAGGTGAGTCCCTGCTTTTACTATGATAAAAAGAAAAGACACATTGAAGGAGGGAGGAAAATAAGACTTGACCATTTCTCAACCTCAAGCAGCCCAGCATGAAGGGAAATGCATTCTTGGGACATGGAAAAGAAATTAAGCCCAGACTTTACACTTGAATCCCAGGACTAGGCCTGCCATACTAAAACTTGGTGCCCAAAATGGCCCAAAAATACTGTCCCCATGCAAGTAACCTCACACTAAGACTCTGGAACTGTCCTTTCTTGGGAAGCAAAGAGACTGCCTCCACTATAATTATTCCAATCTCTAGCAGAAGAGGAGAAAGCAAGATTCTAAGGATCAGGAAAAGTGCTGGCATAGGACTTTGTCTTGGAATTCAGTGCCAGACCCACCATGATCATACCCATCACCAAGTAACAATTAAAGGTCTCAAATGTAGAAGGGAGATAACAGAGTAAGACCCATGTGCTGGTGGGACAGACTCAAGAAGAGCCTGCAGCACCTGTGGCTGGTTGCAAGAATTTGGGGCCTTGAGTCCACCTCAGCAGTGGCAGCTCCTAACATTGAAGGCCTTGGTCCCTCCCAAGTTCTGTGTTGCCTTGGCAGGCTGTGGCTTCAGGGTGTGATATACAATTGTAGAATTGGTGGTCACAAGACTACCTACCTCATTTCTCCTCAACCCCCAACAGCATAACATGGAGAGAGTTAAGTCTTTGCATGAAAGTGAAAAGTTAGTTGAGCAGTTGTGACTGGAAGCCTCAGCTTCTTATCCATATAAATTATAATACAGCTCCCCAAGATGAAAGACAAAGACTCTCAGGCATCCAGAAAAAAAAAAGAAATGCATATATATGCATGTCTCAAGTCATCTGATGGCATACTTCTCAACAGCAAACATATAGGTCAGAAGTGAGTGCCATGAGATTTTCATAGAACTAAAAAAAACCCCTACCAATCAACAATACTGAATCCAGAAAATCTATCATTTAGAAATAAGGGAGATAAAAAGACATTATCAAACATCCAGTACCCCCAAATTGCCACATATTACAGCAATACCAATGCGAGCATATGTCCAAAGAAGTGGAATCTGTATATTAAAGAGACATCTGTACTCCCATGTTTATGGCAGCACTATATATAGTAGCCAAGAAATTGAAATAATTTAAATGCCCATCAGCTGATAAATGGATAAATAAATGAAATACAATGGAATAGTATTTAGTCATAAAATGAATTAAATACTTTCATTTGACAAAATATGCAGGGGTCAGGAGATAATTAGGTTAAATGAAATAAGTCAGGCAAAGAAAGACAAGTATCTTATAATCTCACAGTATGTCAAATATAAAAGAGTTGACCTCATAGAGGTTGAGAGTAGAATTGTGGTTACCATAGACTAGAGAGTTTAGGGAATGGGAATGGAAGGCAGCAGATTGATCAATGAATAATGGGTTTTCCTTAAGTAGGAACAAGAAGTTCTGGTGCACCATGACACAGGAGGATGACTATATAAAACAATAATAAACTACATTTCAAAAAGCTAGAAGAAAGTGTTTTGGAAGCTTTCACCAAAAAGAAATGAAAAGTTTTTGAGAGACAAAGAAATGCAATGCATACATACACCAGCATGTAAATTTACTCAATTAATATGTACACTATGTCAGTACCTTTCAGTTTAAAATACATTTACTTAGATGAAAATGAAGGGAAACAAAGTGAAAGATATGGGGAAAATTATATTGTTTATATATGATGGAAACAATGATATAAGAAAAGTATATTGGCAGATAAATTTGATAAGAATGGGACAGGAAAACAAGCAGAATTTTCTGAAAGACAGCAGAAGCTTACAGTATCTGGGGGATGGCCTTCAAAGGTTGGCAAAGAGCACATAAGTATTACCTCTGCAGCACTTAAGACCCTGGTGTAGGAAGGGCAATCGGTGTATATTGTGTGAACTCAGTACACCCCTGCTGCACAAAAGGAGGAAAATGATTCCCAAGAGTAACTTAAAGCTGAGGTATTGAGAAGGTCAGAATAGAGGAAGAAAAGTTCCATTGGATGGTACTTTCATAAGAAACCTAAAAAGGCCCAGAACAATGTGCCTATGGAGCAAAAGATCAGACAAGGATGTAAATGGCTGCAATTTTTAATTTACTCAAGTGAGAATTGTTCACATGAATCAATAGATTTCTGCAGATGCAATTTTTCTTCCCTTTTCCACCCAGTGACTCACAAACATCAAATGGCTTAAAACTGTTTTCTCCCCACTGAATGTAAAGCTCTACAAAGATGATGACATTGTTTTCTTTAAATATACATACTCAGCACCTAGAAACACATCTGGAAAATGACAAATTCTGAAAATATGCTAGTGTTGTGAGTAACAAAACAGACTCTCAATATTGTCTTTGTACACCTCTCTCCTATATCAGGCCTAGGGAGAAAGTTCAGTTTGTGTCTCCTTTGAAGATCTAACTGATTTTTTATCCTTTCCAAATTGGAGGCATTTTTACACATACTGAGTAAATTTCATTTTGATGACTTACTTTGAAAAGAAAAATTACTTAACATGTTATTTTCCAGAAAAAGGATTCTCTTCTTCAGGATATCAACCTACTATTACATTACAATTGTGTATCTATAGTCAGATGTGTCCCCAAAGGTCTAAATGGATACTCAAAATCACTTCCTGATCAACTTCAATAGATGTCTAATGGCTTCTTCCAACTCTACTTGTTAGTAACCGAATGATTCTTCAAAACAAAACAAAAAGGCAAAGGAGCATGCTCAAATCTCTTAACAACTTCTGATCCTACTTCTTTTAGAGGTGGGGAGCTAAAAGGGATTGAACTCAAGGGCACTCAATCACTGAGCCACATCCCCAGCTCTTTTTTGTATTTTATTTAGAAGGCAGCAGATTAATCAATGAGTTGCTTAGCACCTTGCCATTACTGAGACTGCTTTGAACTTGAGATCCTCCTGGCTCAGCCTCCAGTGACAGTGGGATTATAATCATACACCTCCTTGCCCAGCTTATCCTACTTCTAAATTCTCTTTTCTTTAATTGCTAAGATGATGTAAAGAAGCCATATTATCTTAGACACCATAACCTACTTTCCATCTCTGTCTCACACTATATAGTGGGATCTTTTCTCATCTCTAAATGGGATATTAATATAAATTGTCATTTTTGATTCATTGGATTTTTTTCTATTCTTTAACAATTGTTAACTTAGTTGTAATGATTATTTGTGAACTGAAGGTTTCTGAGGATAAAAGAGTGAAAAATTAATCCTACTGTTTTTCTACCATGAGTTCAAGTTCAGGGGATTGGGCTTAATAAAAAGGAGATAGATTGACACAGACAGAAATACACACAGTTAGGTATATTTTAATACATAGAATAATATGTTCATATTATATAAAATATATGTTTACATATGTGTGTATATATATATATATATATATATATATATATATAAAATTTCTGGAGTCAGCCATTTAGAACTAAACTTACAAATTCCTCCTCCTAAAGTTGTGTTCAGACACTTATTCATGGAATATCTATTCTAACACCATTGAATCCATTCTCCACATCCCATTACTGTGGAAGGAAAAGATTCCACAGCTTTCCTGAGACATATAGCTCCCAATTGCAATCCTAGATACTAATTGTACTGCTTATGTTCTTCCACAGGATTTGTGCGGTTGGATGGAGGAGGTGGACCCTGCTCTGGGCGAGTGGAGGTGAATTATGGAGGAGGATGGACTCCAGTACCTTATGGGAATTTCACATTATCCACTGCCCAGGTCATCTGTGCAGAGCTGGGGTGTGGCAAGGCAGCATCTTTTCTCTTGGACCTGCCCCTCAGAAAGGCCAGTGAACAGGTTTGGGCTGAAGAGTTCCAGTGTAAGGGATGGGAGTCTGAGCTCTGGTTCTGCCCCAGAGTGCCCTGTCCTGCAGGCAGCTGCCAACATAGAGGGGCTGTGAAAGTCGTCTGCTCAGGTGAGACTCACAACAGGACTTTAACCTTTTTGCACACTCTGTTGTGGTAACAAATGTTAGATGTTATTGGAATCCTGTCTTCTCCTGCCAGAGTACACAGAAGTCAGGCTCATGAAAAATGGCAGCTCTCAGTGTGAGGGTCAAGTGGAGATGAAGACCTCTGGAGGCTGGAGAACACTCTGTGCCTCCCACTGGAATATGGCCAATGCCAATGTTGTTTGCCGTCAGCTGGGCTGTGGAGGAGCTATCTCCACCCCAGAGGGAGTATATTTTGTGGAAGGAGGAGATGAGATCTGGAGAGACCGATTTCACTGCTCTGGATCTGAGTCCTTCTTGTGGAATTGCCCTGTGACTGCCCTGGGTGTTCCTGCCTGTGCCCATGGAAACACAGCCTCTGTGGTCTGCTCAGGTAAGAGAGGTCAGGGCTGACTGGTACTCAGTTATCTCCTTGAGTGACATGTCTCTATGAGCGGACAGCACGGAGAACAGCCTAGAAATATGAGACGTTTCTTGGTGTAATATGATTCTTCTCAGTGATCATTCATTTTCGACACCCTGTCAAATGTTATTCAGAGGAATTTTTTTGATTGACAAAGTCTAAAAGTTTATAATTACCTGTATAGTTTAAGCACACAGCAAAACAGAGTAAGATAAGGAGCACACATTTTGTTCTGCAAAGTTATCTCAAATTTTGAACTTTTGCTACAACATTTGCTTCAAACCTTTCTATTATTTTTATCTATTCTTACTAGCTATACATGATAGTAGAATGTATTTTGATATATTATACACACCTGAAGTATAAATTCTCATAACTCTGGTTGTACATGGTGAAGAGTTACACCAGTCATGTAATCATAAATGCGCATAGGGTGATAATGTCTGATTCACTCTACTATCCTTCCCACTCTTACATAATTTCCCCTCCTTTCACTCCCCTCTGTATAATGCAATGTAACTCTGTTCTTGTTATCACCCACACACTTTATTTTGAATTAGCACCTGCATATCAGAAAAACATTTGCCTTTTGTTTTTTTGGAATTGGCTTATTTCACTTAGCATGATAGTCCACCCATTCAGTAATTTACTTACAAATGCCATAATTTCATTCTTCTTTATGGCTGAGTAATATTCCAATGTGTTTATATACCATATTTTCTTTAACCACTCATCTGCTGAAGTACATCTATGTTGGTTCCCTAACTTAGCTATTATGAATTTAGCTTCTCTGAACTTTGATGTCCTGTATATTCTATAGCATACTGATCCTTCAGGTATATATTGAGCTGTGGGAAAACTGAGTCAAATGGAGGTTCCATTCCAAGTTTTCCGAGGAATCTCTATTCCACTTTTCATAAGCAGTCCCACCCACATTGTAAGAGTGTACTTTCCCCCATATACTTGCCCACATTTATTGTTACTTGTATTCTTAATAATTGCCATTACAACTGAAGTGAGATGAGTTCTAAGTGTAGTTTTAATTTGCATGTCTCTAAATACTGGAGATGTTGAATTCTTTTTATATATTTGTTGACCAATTGTATTTCTTCTTCTGTGAAGTGTCTGTTCAGTACCTGAGCCCATTTATGTGCTGGGTTATTTAGTGGGGGAGTGTTAAATTTTTGAGATCTTTATATATCCTGGAGATTAATGCAGGTTACAATGATTTTCTCCTAATCTGTAGGCTTTTTTTTTCATATTCTTGTTTGTTTCCTTTGCTGTGAAGAAGCTTTTTAGTTAGAATCTATCCCATTTGTGGTTGATTTTACTTCTTGTAGCACTTTATACTTGTTAAGGAAGTCAGTTTCTAAGCTAACATGGTGGAGATTTGGGTCTACTTTTACTTCTGTTAGGCACAGAATCCAAGGTCTCAAGTCTAAGTCCTTGATGCAATTTGAGTTGAGTTTTGTGCAGGGTGAGAGATTTGTGCTCCTTTATATTTTGCTACATATGAATTTCCACTTTTTCTAGCACCATTTTTGAAGAGGCTATCTTTTCTCCAATATATTTTTTGGATCTTTGTCTAGTATGAAATAACTATATTTATGTGGCTTTGTCTCTGTTTCTTCACTCTGTACCATTGATCTACCTGTCTTTTTTGGTGCCAACACCATGCTGGTCTTTGTAACCATAGCTCTATAGTATAATTTAAAGTCTGGTATTTTGATGGCTCCAGCTTTACTTTTATTGTTAAGTATTGCTTTGGCTCTTTTGAGTCTCTTATTTTTCCAAATGTATTTTATGACTGATTTTTCTATTTCAGTAAAGAATGCCATTGGAATTTCCATTAAATCTGTATAGAGCAATTGAGAGTATGGCCATTTTGGCAATGTTAATTCTGCTATCCATGAACATAGAAGATCTTTCCATGTTCTAAGTTGTTTTTCAATTTCTTTCTATTATGTTCTTTAGTTTTAATTGCAGAGGTCTTTCATCTCTTTTGCTATATAGATTCCCAAATACTTTAATTTTTGAGGCCATTATGAATGGGGAAGTTTTCCTGATTTCTTTTGGTGGATTCACCACTGATATATAGGAACTCAATTGATTTATGGGTGTTAATTTTATATTCTGCTACTTTGCTGAATTCATTTGTTAGTTCTCCAAGTTTTCTGGTGGAATTTTTTTGGGTCTTTTAATATGGGTCATGTCATCAGCAAATAGGGATTGTTTGAATTTTCCCTTTCCTATTTGTATCTATTCAATTTCTTTCTTCTGTCTTATTGCCCTGGCTAGAATTTTAAGGACAATGTTGAATATAAGTGGTAAAAGAGGGCATTCTTGTCTTGTTCCAGTTCTTTGAGGGAATGCTTTCAGTTTTTCCACATTTAGAATAATGTTGGCCTTGGATTTAACACATATAACTTTTACAATGTTGGGGTATGTTCCTACTATCCCTAATTTTCCTAGTGTTTTGAACATGAAACCATGTGTATTTTGTTAAGTGCTTTTTCTGAATCTGTTGAGATGATCATATAATTCTTGTCTTTATGTCTATTGATGTACTGAATTATGTTTATTGATTACTGTATGTTGAACTAAACTTGCACCCCTCGGATGAGCCCCACTTGATCATGGTGCACTAATTTTAATATCTATGAATGAGAATTGCCAGAATTTTAATGAGAATTTTTGTATCCATGTTCATCAGGGATATTGGACTGAAGTTTTCTTTCCTTGATGTGTCTTTGTCTGGTTTTATTATCAGGGTGATAGTAGCTTCATAGAATGTGCTGGAGTGATTTTCTTATTTTCTATTTCATGGAATAATTTGAGGACTATTAGTGTTGACTGTATTCTTGACTGATATTCATTTTCTTTAAAGATCTTGTAGAATTTGGCTAAAAATCCATCTGGTCCTGGGCTTTTCTTGATTTGTGGGCTTTTCATGGTGACTTCTATTTCAATGCTTGAAATTGATCTGTTCAAATTGTGTATGTCCTCCTGATTCAGTTTGGATAGGTCATATGTCTCTAGAAATTTGTCAGTGTCTTCTAGATTTTCTTTCCTTTTTTTGAGTATATAAGTTTTCCAAATACTTTCTGATTATCATCTGTATTTCAGTACTATTTTTTTTATCACAAATTTTACTAATTTTTGTTTTCTCTGTCTTTTTCTTAGTTGCTTAAGGTTTATCAATTATGTTGATTTTTGAAAAGAGCCAACTTTTCATTTTGTCAATTTTTTTGAATTATTTATTTTGTTTTCATTTTATGGATTTCAGCTCTAATTTTAATTATTTTTACTGTCTTCTACTTTATTGGTGTTGATTTGTTGTTCTTTTTCTAGGGCTTTGAGATGAAATGTTAGGTTACTTATTTTTTGACTTTATACTCGTTTAGCGAATGAGTTCAATGCAATGAAATTTCCACTTAGTACTGCCTTCATAGTGTTCCAGAGATTTTTATATGTTGTGACATTATTTTCATTTCCCCTATGTATTTTTTTGTTTCATCCCTGATTTCTTCTGGGATCATTTGGTCATTCAGTAGTGTATTATTGAATTCTATGGTGTTAGAGTAGCTTCTATTTTTTAAATTATATTATTGATTTCTAACTCCATTATGATTTAATAGAATGCAAGGTAACATCTCTATTTTTTTGTATTTTCTAAGAGTTGCTTTGTGGCATAAGATATGGTCTATTTTAGAGAAGGATTCATGTATTGCTATGAAGAAAATGTCTCCAATCATTGATGGATGAAATACTCTATATATGCCTTTAAAGTAGAAATTATTGATTGCATTATTTAGTGCTATGGTTTCTTTCATTTTTGTTTTGAGGATCTATGCAGTGGTGATAGAGGTATGTTAAATTCACTTAGTATTATTGTGTTTTGATCTATTTCTGTTTTGAAATTGAGAAGAATTTGTTTCATGTGCATAGATGCTGCCTTTTTGAGGCATAAATATTTATATCTGCTATGTCTTGCATATGTATCATTCCCTTAAGCAGTATGAAATGTCCTTCTTTGTGCCTTATGATTAGTTTTGGCTTGAAATTCACTTTATCTTATATGAGGACAGAAATCCCTGCCTGTTTGCATGAACCATATGAGTGATRTAGTTTTCCCATCTTTTCACTTTTAGTCTGTGAATGTCTTTGCCTAAGTGGTGAGTCTCTTGGAGAGGGCATATTTTTGGGTTGTGTTATTTTAATTCAGAATGCCAGTCTATGTCTTTTGATTGATGATTTTTGCCCTTTTATATTCAAATATATTATTGAGATATGATTTGTATTCCTTGTTATATTGCTTTATTTCTGGTTTTTAATTTGATTTAGTTTATCCCCTTCTCCCTTTGCTGATTTTCACTTTTATTTATTTATTTTTTCTTCCTGGAATAATTTTTTTTAAAAAAAGACCTGTAGTGCAGGCTTTCTAGTTGTGATTTTTTTTTTTAGATTTCACTTATTATGGAAGGTTTTGATTTCATCTTCAAGTATGAAGCTTAATTTTGTTGGGTATTGTATTATTGACCGACATGCTTTTTCTTTGAAGTCTTGATGTATATTATTCCAAGACTTCCCAGATTTGGGGGTCTGGTTTGAGAAATCAGCTGAGATGCAAACTGGTTTCCCTCTAAATGTGATCTGAGATTTGTTTCTAGCAGCCTTAAAATTTCTATCCTTATAATGTATGTTAGGTATTTGAAAGAATGAAAGCAAGAAAGAAAGAGAAAGGAAGAGCAACACAAATGAAAATATATTTCATTTTTTCTCATCATTACCTGACTCATGAATTTGGGAATGCCTCTCAGCTATTGCCTCTTGGGATATGTTATAAGGTTACACTTGAATGCCATGGGTAACTGAGATCACGTGAAGACTTGTCCAAGCTGGCAATCCAGGATAGTTCATTCACATGGCTAGTAGCTACAAATTCAACAGGGGGCTGTCGACAGAACCACCTGCAAATGTTCTCTCCCACATGATACTCTCTATATAATAGATATGCCATAAAGCAAACATCCTACAGAGAAGGAGGTATGACTTTCTAAACTAGGTTTATATGTCAAGCCACTTTGGCTTCACCACATTCTATTTCTTATAGACAACTCACCATGGTCAGCCCAGGTTCAAAGGTGATAGACCCAACCTGATCTTTTCTTAAAATTGGGAGTCATCTCGCCACAAAGCCATGAAAAGATAATTTCAGCTTTAGTATAAATTACTACAAATTCTGAACCTACTTGGAATGCCTGCCTGTGCCTTGAACTCACCCATGCCTGGCTCTCTGACCAGATAGCAGCCCTCTCTGAAACTTTCGTGACACCTCATAAATATTGGCCTTCCCTGGCCAGACAATGACCCTCTCTGAGGTTCTAATGGTCCTCATAAATTCTGATGTTGGGGCCAGCAAAAAAAAAAAAAATGTAAACTACCATTAGTGTGATGCTTGTCAGAGTTCTGTTATCTGTAACCCCCCCTTTGTGTAACTTTCTGTGCTATAATGCTGGGCTGCAGGAAAGCTGCTGTTGCTGTCTTGTTTCCCGTGGTTTTGGGAGGGAGAGGCAGCCCTGCCGGTCAAAATAATAAGTTTGCTTTAATTTGATTTTAATTGGAGTCAGTGGTCTTTTCTTGCATCCTGGTCTAACAAAAGGAAGGAGGAATGGACTCCAGAAGTCAATGGATAGAGCATCACAGATTTTGTGAATATGTTTTAAAGCTATATGTGTATTGAATATCTGACATTGTGTATTTTCTAAGTTGTACTTTTAGCACTATTTTAGTGACCTTAAAGATCTAAAACTTATAGATTACATAGGAATGTTAGGTTCTCTCACCATGTCTCTCAAGTCCCTGTTTATAGTTTCCACCCTTATATTTCTATGCTTTACTGTGTATTTTTCTGTGTTTTTGTACTTTGCAATTTCTATTCTGTGACAATCTAATGTTTTTGACTCATCTTTTGGTTCTTATTTTTAGCTCTTGACTTTTTAACTCACAAATTTTTACTATATTTTTGTGATTATTTTTCTGCCAAGATGCACATCATACCATTTAATAGACCAATTAAACATGATTATTTAAATTACCTATAAGGAAACACCAATACTAATATGTAAAATCTTTTCCATTTTTTCTCATTTTTCTTGTTTGTTCTCTACTAAACGCTACTTCATGTGGCATTTTGGATCAACATTGTTTTTGAGAAACTATACAAAACCTTCATAAAGGATTTTATTTTGCCTCTTCCAGGTACTTTTTTAAAAGTAGATCATGTTACACAAAAACAATTTAAGTTTTGATAAACTGGGCACCATCCCTTTGTCAAAAATCCATTTAGTTCACAAAATATGACACAAGTGTCCTGGTTGTTTAACATGATTTCTCTTCTTTGGTCCAACCTAAATTATATTTGTGTATAGCCATGGCAATCTGGCAAACATGCTAAGATTTTAGGTCTCACCTTCTAACTTTGAGTGGTCAAGTGCCTCCAGGGAAAAATAGCTGATCCCTCTTTTCACTTATCTCTTCATTTGACTCCTAAAGTCTGCATATCCTGGGAGCTGTGCAATGTGCTCAAGAAGAACTTATATATTCCCACTGTCCTAAAATCAGTCCTAGCACTTGACATAAATCCCCAAAGTGTCAGAGTCAGAAGCAGAAATCTCCATTAGGAAAACAGTTCTTTTTTTTTTACATCCATTTTTTTTATTGATTGTTCAAAACATAGGAGAACCGTTCTGAAGATGAAATTACTGATTTTGTCCTATAGCTGTCAGATGCCATCACTAGATTATTATGTACCTTAATTCAGTTTCATCCTCTCTACTCCCAGGTGTAGGTAGCCAGATCCAGCTGCTGCCCCAGTGCAATAACTCCTGGTCTGACCCAGCAGGCTCTGTAGCCTCAGAAGGGCACACTCTCAACTGCTCAGGTGAGCAAGGCCATCAGCACGTGAGTCTTTCCATTCCCTGTGTAAATGCCCACTGACATGACCCTGTCTCTCCACATACAGAAGGCAGCTCCGCCTGATGGACGGGGGCAGTCACTGTGCAGGGAGAGTGGAGATCCTGCAGCAGGGCTCCTGGGGCTCCATCTGTGATGACAGCTGGGACCTGAGTGATGCCCACGTGGTGTGCAGACAGCTGGGCTGTGGAGTGGCCCTGGAGGCCACCATCTCTGCTCACTTTGGAGAGGGATCAGGGCCCATCTGGCTGGATGAGCTGAATTGTACAGGAGAGGAGGCCCACGTGTGGCAGTGCCCTTCTCAGGGCTGGGGGCAGCACAACTGCAGACACAAGGAAGATGCTGGGGTCATCTGCTCAGGTCTGTGGTTCACACTGTGTATAGGTGGGATAAATGAGGAGCATGTTCAGGATGGTATCTGAGCTTTAGGGCAGAGGATGGAAATTGGTCTCAGGGTGGATGGGGAGGAGGCTCATCCCATATTGCCTGCTGTCCAGCAGAGAAGATTAGGTGCTTCCATTTCCTGATGCAGCAGCTGAGCTTCTGCTCCTTCCTTCTCATCCCTGCCTCCTGACAATCATTCTCTTAAGTGTTCATTTGACTTCAGACTTCCTGCTTCAGTTACTGTGTATGCAACATCCTGAGACCCATTGTATTAGTTTCCTATTGCTGCTATAATAATTTACCACAGAGTTAGTGACTTAAACCAACATGAGTTCAAGTCTGACCCCAGTCCACCTAAGCTATAAACAAGGTGTCAGTGAGCTACATTCAGCTGAGACTCTGGGAAGACTCATTACCTTGCCTTTTCCAGGATCTAAAAATCACCTGTATTTGCCTTCCTTATTCAAGTCAACCACCTTGCATACTTCTGACCAATTTTTTTCATCTTCACATCTATCTTTGACCAGAGTCAGAAACCATTGTCTGCTTGTAAGAACAGATCAAAGGATGTTAGTTTGAGCTGACATAGTTAATCCCACATAATCTAAAATAATCTCACCATTAAAAAATTCTCATCTTGATCTTGTTTGCAAAGCCCAATTTGCTCAAATGGTAAACTATTCACAAGCTCCAGGATCTGGAAGTGACATATCTGGGACTTCACTGTTATTCCACATCATTGTCAACACCCCCTTTCCCAGGGTCTGTCAAATATTTAGTCAAGTAGCTTTTCCTCCCTCCCCTCAAGAGGCCCACTTCAGTGTTCCTGCCTGTTCATTTTCCACTACACCATTGTCATAGAAATACAAAAAGAGATACAAGTTATCAAAACAGGTAAATGGATAAAAGTTTTGTCTTTCTCCCAGTGGGCATTTCATCAGCAAAGTTAGCAGTGAGCCCTCACTACATAAGGGTAAAGGAAAACATCACTAAACATTAAATACTCACTGTGTCCTATTTTCCTCCTCTTGGTTTCAGACTTCCTGGCCCTCAGGCTGGTGAGCGAGGACCAGGAGTGTGCTGGGTGGCTGGAGGTTTTCTACAACAACACCTGGGGCAGTGTCTGCCACAGCCCCATGGAAGCTGTGACCTTGTCTGTGATCTGCAGACAGCTTGGCTGTGGGGACACTGGGACTCTCAACACTTCTGTTCCTCTCAGAGAAGGTTCTAGACCTCATTGGGTGGATGGAATCCAGTGTAGGAAAATGGACACCTCTCTCTGGCAGTGTCCTTCTGACCCCTGGAAACAGAGATCTTGCTCTGCAAAGGAGGAAGCTTATATTGTGTGTTCAGGTGACTGACTCCCTATTCCTGTGTCCTCACTATTTATGTTTTCAGAGAAATTTCATGCTTTCAAGCCAAGAGAATGAGTTCCTATATGTCTATGTGGTACAAATTTGAATACAGATTATTTTGGCCTCAATTTACAATCTTGTTTCAATGACAGAATTAAGTAAACTTGTTCTGACAACAATTTACATGGAAAATGCCATGGATATTAAATTGACCATAAACTTACCCTCTAAAACACTGTGTAAGAAAATGGCTAGTGCATTGTTACACTATAATAATTACTCTCTATTTCCTTAGTAGAGTGAGGAACTTGACCTCAATTATATAAATCACTTGCTATGTCTTGTCATAGTGTTAGTTTTTTAAAAATTTATTTCACATGTAAGGATGGTTAAACCACTCAGCAAACTGTTCATAGGTATTATGGTGACCACTTAATCTACATGTGTAAATTAATGTTAGAAGTAAGCACTTCATCCACTCCATACACTCTAGAGGGTTATACTTGGGGTATCCAATACTAGTGGGTTATCTTTGAGTTCATGGTCTTTTACTCTGAAATCCATCTACATCAGTCAGACAAACTCTCAGTTCAGATTGTTGATGATAAGTAATTGAGTGAGTTGCATCTTAATTCGAGGCATGAGGAGGAGAGAAAAGAAGAAAATACTCTCCCTATCCTTATGGAGTTTATCCTTCAGCATGACGACACACACCAGCCAGAAATGTGAGTGTTATGAAGACGTGGAAGGTGCTGAGGAAATGGGTAATTTGAGGAAGAGAGAAATAACATTTAGGTTGAGACCAATGAAGGAAGTAGATGTCAAATGAAGAAAGTAAAAAGAGCATTTGGTGAGTGTAAATCCTAAGGTGTGAGAAGCCTGGTGACCTGGAGGTACTGACAAAATCTCATCATAAGCAGAATAGGAAGAAGCTGGGGAGAGTGATGCCTGATTATCTGGATGGATAAGAAGAGTTCAACTCCTCTCCATGGAATGGCCCCAATACCAATTCTGTTGAATAGCTGTTTGTTAACGGCAAATTACTGTGAGATGAGGGTTCTAGTAGCCCCTTATTTTCTCCTTGAATTCCTCTCCTCACAGTTCCAGAGGTCCTGGATGATACTGCCTGCTCTGAGCCTTTATCCATATACTACTGCAACTGAGCCACTTCATCCCTCTCTCAGAAAACATTCTATGGGGACTGTTGGGAATTGGAGGCTATTGTCTTCCAATTTCTTAAAACCTCTAATGTGTGCTTCAGTTTCATGTTCTGATAAAAAAAATACCTGGTAATCCTCAAAACAATGATATCTTTATCATTTGGAGGCTCTATGCTTTCCTTTCGAAAGAATATTTCTGGGCCAAAAATTAGAATAAAAATATTCTTGCTTTCCTTTGTCACTTTCTTTTTTTTTCTTTCTTTTTTTTATAGTCATACATTACAGCAGAATGTATTTGACGTATAATACATACATGGATTCCTTTGTCACTTTCAACAATTTCTTTCATTTTTTTCTCCATACAATCTACTTGGAATTTGCTCCATGAGGTGGCATTAGCTACCACATCTGTTGGTGTCACTCTCCAGCCTGGTCACACCCCATCACACAGGAAGGCTGCAGTACCAGGCTCACCAGGCTCCTCTGTCTCCTGTTCCTGGTGCTGCCTTGAACACAACTGAGATAATATCTTGGCCTCTGAATTCCTGAATTTCTCCCTTTGAATCACTCTACTAACTTGCATACCATCTCTCTGTTTGGCCACACTATTGACCATCACTAACTGTCCAGCTTGACACCTTGTTTTCATTGTTCTTTCACTGACTGTTGCCTCTTCTCCATGTGGTGCATATTTTTGACACTCCTTTTCCAGATATTTCATCCTCATGCATATTACAAATGTTGTCCCTTATCAGCTTTTATCTTTCCACTCTCCTCATGATTGCACATGTTCTTCTTACCCTGATTAGACAATCTGATGCCCATTATAATCTTCTCCCTTCAAGTTCACTCAATTCCCTGGTCTATTATTTATCTTTTAAGACAAGAATAGTTGAGTCAACTACCTAACTCTTTGATGCCTGCTCTAGACTAGGCAAGGACTGATGAGTCACTGAAAAGTACTGTATCTTGTTATAATGTGAAATTATCCTGCTAGTCTTTTGAATTTGTGATCCAATCTGTGATGGATCCTCCACACTGGCCCCATATTGTAGTGTGCTTCTCTCACATGTGCTCTTGCTCTCTCTCTAACATGACATTTTACAAATTCCCTGATCTACCCCTCATTGCTATTTAAACCATATCATACACATAAATGTTCTTCCCTCAAACTTCACTGGAAAATAGAAACTTTCAGCTGTCTATCTTTTTTTTGTTGTTGTTGTTGTTTGTCCTCATGGTCACTCCAATTTACTGATTATTATTCTTAGAGTCTTGCAGATTCTTTGTTCAATATTTAAATTTTAGACTCCGTATTCTTCCTTAGCTCTTTTCCTTCCCTTATCTCATTGGAGTCCATGGCTATAGATGATATCATTCTATGGCAGTTCCCAATATAAACCTTTATACCTGGTCTCTGCCCTTAAATCCAAACTCATACAATTCATTGCTAATAGACCCTCACTTGAATATATAATGGGCAGCTCAAATTTAATTTTCAAAGAAGAGCACTGTATTCCACCCCTTTAAGCCCTGCCTCTACCTTTTTCTCCTTGTTCTATTCTCCATCTCTGTTAATGCCACTGTTGTTGCTCAGTTACTTATTCTCAGTCTACATTCACATCTTCATTTCACTCTCTCTCACCAGTTCCAATGTAGTAGCAAGTTCTATGCTTCTATCAGCAACCACATCCTACATCCTTTTACTCTTTCCTTCCTACCCTCATCTTAGTTCAGGAAAGATCACTTGTTGCTTGGACTCTCCAACAATCATTAGTGGTCTTTGTCTTCCATAACATAATGTCTATCTAATGCTGGAAATATGCTCATTTGATTACCAAGTTGATTAATGTGTTGCTGTGTAGCAGGTGATTTGCCTTTGGAAGTGACACTGGCAAATTTCTCTGTGGCTCACAGATGCAGAAACTACTGGAAACCATGTCTCAGCAGTTTGTAATTACCATAGTTTGAAGAAATGCCAGGGAAGAGTTGACATTTTATTTTTATCAGACTTTGAAGGGCTTCCCATGGAATAGGGAGGAGACTGTGAGCCACTTCAGGGGTCAAGGATGTGACTCAAGTGTGCAGATTGCTATTGCTTGGGTTTGGGTTCAGTCTAAGTTTAAGTAACTCTAAAGACCCTCACCATGCGAGGAACTCCAGGGAATGAGTAATGTTATCTCTCTGGGCAAAGAGCACTGGAGGCATAAAGGGATGTCCACCCCACCTTCTCTTATGCTGTGTTATATTTTTTGCTCTCTTCACAGAATAGGCCACATATTTGACACTAGGGGATTTACATTTTTCCCTCTAGTTTATTTCTCGTGTAGAATTAAACAAAATCTTTTCTATTACACTGAATTACCAAAACCTTAATTACTCATTGAAATCAAGGAAGACATATTAAAATATAAAAGGTACATTAGTGACGTTGCATAACCCTTGTCTATTCTTATTCCCCTGATGTAAATAGGATTAATGGACTGGTATTTACTCTTTTCCCAGTCCTCCATTTTCATGGAATTCTATCTAAACTCATAACGTGATAAAAGCATTTATCTTATAGTATCTTTTTATTTGGTTTTACAATGTTGGGCTTGTATCATACTTACTATTGTTACATTGGCTTTCTTAACAGTATATTATGGCTATTCCTCATGTAGAGCTCACTGTTTTGTAAAACAGCTCCATAATTTTACAGTCTTAAGAGATTAGTGTTACAGCTTGCATAATCATTTTGCTATTTATTTATAATTGTTTTCTATTTTCCCTTCTAAAACCAATATTGTAACAAATTTCCTTGCACTTGTAACACTACATACTAGTATGTTATTACTACAAGATGACTTCCAATGGTTGCAAGATCATCGGATATCTATTTTTTTGAACAGATATAGTCATATTACTTAGTAGGAGCAATTGTTTTCAATTGGCATTTCATATCTTGATAAAAAACACTGTTTTTTTTATTATTTGACCATTAAACTAAAGTCAAAGAATATACAGAAGCTCAAAAATAAAAAAAAGAACAAAGCCCACAAATCTATGCTAGGAACTGCCTAAAATCCAGGGAGGATGAGATGACAAATGATGATAAATGTTTCAAAAGCAAATGCTTGCACTTTTCTTTTTTCTCCCTTTCCTCACCTTATTTTTTTCCTTTTCCCTGTAGAGGCTGAAGGGATAATAAATAATAAGATTAGGTAATGATGATTTTTTTCTTACAATAGACCCCACATATTGAGAAACAGACATCYAGTTCTGAAGTAAGCAACTACCCAAGAGAGATCCTGCCATCATTTCTAGAGATGTTCTCAGTATAGTGTAGGAGTTTGACACAATAATGGGGAAAATGCATATCCATGATGGTGTTTTAGGACAAGTGTCATGTGTGTTTTTTCTGTGTTATTTTTCACTTATATGTATTCTTTTGTTTAGTTTTGCTTGGCTCTATTTTACCTCTATGTATTAATTTTTCTCAGTGTATTATCTTTTCTTGAAAATGTTTCTATCTTACCAGCTAACTATTGTCCACTTATTAACTTTTCTCTGAAATCTAGTTGCTTTATTTATGTAAAAAATACTTTTAAGTCACTTAAAAGAATAACTTCAATTAATTTAAATGAATACTTTCAATGTTTGTGATTTTCAGTGTTCTGTGCCAGGGTTGAAGGAGTGTGTTTGCAACCAAAAGGATTCCCTCTGGCTCTGGAAGCCTGTGCCCAATCTCCTGGCATCATGAACAGAAGTATGTGCCAGTGATGGTGGATGGGACCCAGTGACATTCCCAGACCAACACTTTGCAGTGATTCCATTTTCCTTCTCTTCTCCCCAGGTG